GCACACGTCTGACCTGTTCACATGCACAGCAGAGATTTATTCATTTCTCATTGTTTAAAAAGTAAAGAAGCAGAAATGAATTTCTGAAAACTTCCAGGTATTTTTTCTTGTTTTACTTTGATAAAACTCTTGAAGTTGAGTATTTTCTCTATGTGAACGTGTTTCTGACCTGATGATGTCGTGTGTCAGACGTCTGGCAGCAGCACCTGCAGGCAGCAGCAGGCTTCCTGCAGCGGCGCTGGCAGAAGCTGACTGAAGATCTGCTGAGCGACGTGCAGCCCGACAAAGTCTGGGTCGGCTTAAGAAGCCCTAACAGAACCAGGGACCGACCCGATCAGACCCCGGGCTCTGCGGGGAGCAGGACGCCGGGTCAGGAATCACTTCCTCTTCTTCCTGTAGTTTCACCACAGAACGACTCGTTCAAAGAATCACAGGCTGTAACTGAATCTGGTCTGCTTTGACTCAGAACCTGACCTGGACTACGGGAGTCTGGAGTCCAGAATGACCTTGGAGACCTTCCTGCAGGGGTGTACAGGAAAGGTCACGGTTCTGTGCGGCCCGGCCGGATCAGGAAAAACTCTGCTGACGTCATGTCTCGCTCACCAGTGGGCCAAAGGACTGGTGAGTTTTTTACCTTCAGACTGGTTCCTGTGGCTCCGTTCAGCTTCAGTCAAATAAAAGTAAAGTTTTATAACAAACACAGATTATTGGACCGAGTTTAAACGTGTTTATTTGGAATAAAACAGAAAAAGTAGATCTTAGCAGCGTGTTGCTAAACGCCACCTGATGGAAAGTACCGGAGAAACACTGGAAGAGCTCAGTGACGTCACCTGATCAACTCTTTTATCCTGCAGAGAATGAAATGAAAGTAAAAGTAAATGTGACCCAGTTTACAGCAGCACCGAAACAACAGATCAAACCGCTGCACCACCGCGCTGCCGTTAAAATAAACTGTTAAAGCTAAAAGAAGCCGAACACCAGCTCAAAGCCAAAAAAGCAACAATGTTAGCTAAAAGCTAGAAATACCAAATGGCTGGTTGAAAGCTAAATGTAGTAAAAGTTGAAGTAAAACTAAAAGTATCTCAACAACAGTTTGTTTAACTGTTTTGGAATGAATTGAACAGTAAACGGACTGAACTCATAAAACACTTTATCAAGTCCCTCAGGACCCCGAAGAGCTTCACACTTACAGACATTCACCCTGATGGTGCTAAGCTACACTGTAGCCACAGCTGCCCCGGGGCACACTGACAGAAGTGAGGCATTTGAAAATTCAGGCAACAGAAGAGATCAGCTGCAGTTTATTACATTATTTATATGTGGAAAATATTTGTAAAGATAAATTTAAAGTATAAAATGCAAACAAAATTGTATATATAGCATGTGTAAAATTAATGAAATATGTCAGACAAACCACAGTATAAATGTACTTTGTTTATACTATAATGTGCTGTTTGTAGTACAATGTCCTGTGTACATTGTAAAAAGTATATACAGTACTATAATGTACTGTATACATAGTATAAAGCACTGTCTATATGGTACGATGTACTGTGTATACACAGTATAGTGTTATACACAGTATAATGTACTGTGTATACACAGTATAATGTACTGTAGTATAATGTACTATAACATAATGTAGTATAATATACTGTGGTATAATGTACTGTCGTATAATGTATATAGAATATACTCTGTTATAATGTACTATGGTGTAATGTACTGTAGTATAATGCACTGTGGTATAATGTACTATAGTACAATGCACTGTGGTATAATGTACTATAGTACAATGCACTGTGGTATAATGTACTATAGTACAATGTACTGTAGTATTATGTACTATAGTACAATGTACTGTAGTATTATGTACTATAGTAT